GTGAAATTATGCTCTACAACTTTCGTTTAGACTCCGTCGGCTAATTTTGACTGTATTTTTAATGTTATATTTTTCACGGGCCGGGACAAGAAAAGTCCGTTAAAAACTCATAACTTCTTCATCCCACGTCCGTTTTCGTCTGTCTTTTTACCGTTGTACTACTATTGACGAGATATTTGATTCTAGTTTAGGTTGTGTCGGCTAAAAATCATTTCGATCTTTATTTCGAGTTTCGGGTTGTGTACTGCTATGTCGATTCTTAGAAAAATCATAACTTCCTCATATGAAGTCAGATTTGGACGTTCTTTTTATGAAAGTTCTCAATTTAACGAATAATACGACTTCCATTTAGATCACTTAAGCCAAAAAGTAGTTTCTCGTAAACTCACTTTTTACGTTATTCGACGTTGTGTCGGTTTTGTCGCGAATCTTTAAGGAGTCATAACTTCTTCGTTATAACTCGGATTTCGATGAGGTTTTTGCCTAAATGTTTCTAACGAGATAATCTACAACTTTCAATAACACTATTTTTACTTATTTCCAACTTAAATTTCACATTTTCGTTAATTTCAATATTTGACTTTTGATTGGAATCTCATAAGACTTCCAATACTTCCCGAATGATTCTAAACATAGTTTTACTTCAATTCTCATAAAACTATCTTGTTAAAACTCAATGCTCCAAACCATATATTATTTAATAATATTCATTTTTAAACTAATAAAACATGATAACTGAACGTGTATGTTACACTTTCGTAAAGATGAGAGACTCACGACAAGCTCGAACCTCTTAGTGAGCGTTGTATTTTCATCGGCTACCTACAGAAGTTCTTTGGATATATTTTCTATAGACCGAGTGACAATGTTGTCTTCGTTTGCGAGGAGAGGGGTTTTCCGAGAGAGATGACTCATATGCCAAGAGGACAATGGGAGGCAAATTGATCTTGAAGAGCTTCAAGAATCAAGTGATGAAGGAACCTCAAACACTAGTACTCAAGCCGAGGAGGAAACTCATGTTGAACCAGTTAACGAGTCCTTACCTCTGAGACGTTCCAGTAGAGTTAGCGTTCCACCTGAGTTTTATGGTTTCCATATTACTACTGAAGGTGATACGTTTATTAGTGATAGTACACTAATAAATATGGATGAACCTAACAACTACAAGGAAGCCATGGCGGACCCGAAGTCTGCAAAATGGAAAGAGGCTATGGACAGTGAGATTCAGTCCATGTATGACAATCAAGTTTGGAACTTGGTTGACAATGTACCAGGTCGTAAGACGGTCGGGTGCAAATGGATCTTCAAGAAGAAGACCGACATGGATGGGAAAGTACACACTTATAAGGCGCGATTGGTTGTGAAGGGCTTTACTCAAACTCGTGGAGTTGACTATGACGAGACCTTCTCACCAGTAGCGAAGATTAAATCTATAAGGGTTATGCTAGCCATATTCGCGTTTCATGATTATGAAATATGGCAGATGGAGGTTAAAACCACTTTCCTAAATGGAAAGTTGGCTGAAGATGTTTACATGAGTCAGCCAGAGGGTTTTGTCGATGCAAAGTACCCTAATAGAGTGTGTAAGCTTGAGAAATCCATCTATGGATTAAAACAAGCGTCTTGCAGATGGATTCTTTGTTTCGATGAGAAAGTCAAAGAGTTTGGGTTTTCGAGGAGCGAGGATGAGTCCTGCGTATATGTCAATGCTAGTGGGAGTGTAGTTAGCTTTCTTGTATTGTATGTGGATGACATACTGCTCATAGGAAATGACATCCCAACCTTGTAGGAGGTTAAGTCCTGGCTTGGGAAGTGCTTCACTATGAAGGACCTCGGAGAAGCTGCTTATATTCTAGGGATAAGGATATGGAGAAATAGGAGTAAAAGACTAATAGGACTTAGTCAAAGTACCTACTTGGACAAGGTATTGAAACGTTTCAACATGGAGAATTTCAAGAAAGTGAATTACCTATCCAGAGCAATACCAAACTGAGTAAGACTAAGACTCCGAGTACTGATGCCGAAATGGCATAAATGAGTCGAGTACCATATGCTTCCGCCGTTGGATCGATCATGTATGCTATGAAGTGTACTCGCCCTGATGTGGCTTTTGCTTTGAGCATGGTTAGTCGATATCAAGGGAATCCTGGTAGAGCTCACTGGATTGCGGTAAAGAACATTCTTAAGTACCTGCGAAGGACTAAGGATTGGGTCATTATCCTCGGTGGGAGTGATGACTTGAGAGTGCGAGGGTATAGTGACGCCAGTTTTCAGACCGACCGAGATAATTTCCGCTCTCAGTCGGGCTGGGTATTTACCCTGAATGGAGGAGCAGTGACTTGGAAAAGTTCCATGCAGGAGACCGTAGCTGGTTCAACGTGCAAATTAGAATACATAGCAGCGAGCGAAGCGTTGAAGGTGGCAATATGGCTAAAGAACTTCATTGGAGACCTTGGAGTTGTACCTGCCATAAAGGAGCCTATGGAATTTTTCTGTGATAACGAGAGTGCGGTCACCTTAACCAAGGAACTGAGGGATCATGGCAGATCCAGGCATATCGACAGAAAATACCACTTCATCAGACATCGAGTAGAAGAGGGACTCCTCATAGTAAAGAGGGTATCGTCAGAGGAGAACCCAACAGATCCCCTTACGAAGGGACTGAGTAGGGTTAAGCACTTGCAGTATGCTAGGAGTATTGGGCTGAAGGACGATATTAGGTTTAGTAATTAGATATTTAGAAACTTGTAATAGATAAAATGTAATTGACATTTGATGATTAAATAAAGGAGTTTTATTTATTAGTAATGTTACTATCTTATGTCAATTATTTACTATTGTTTCACTTTTGCATGTTTTGACTTCCTAAATAATAGGATTATTCAAACTATCCACAGTCGATCATACTTTGGAAGTAGGTATTGAGGCAAGACTGTCATGAATTGGCTTGTAGATTGTCTAAGCGTTTAGACATAGCAAAAGTTTGCTGCAACGTTCATGAGTGCTCCTGAAATAAGATTTGAGTATTGGATTAAACCCGCACTCACATGAATCACTTCATGGAATTCATCACGAGTGATTGTGAGACGATAATATCGTATAGTCTTTAAACTGATATATATGACTTGTTGTTTACGAGTTGGTTGTGCATTGATAATGCGTAAACGCATCAATAACTTGATGTTATAGCACGTGTTGTTGTGTATGATTTAATGAGTAAATAATACAAGCATATAAGTCAAAGTTTATCTGTTCCTTTTATCCTAAGAGGATTAAAAGCGATATCTTGGGCCCCTCGATGATTTTGTGTTGACTTATGTGTCAGGCCCGGTCAGGACTGAATTGATGTGTTCAAATTAAGTTCTATGTCAAACTAATCAGAAATCGGGAAACAAACAGTTGTACAATGAGTATGACTCCATTCCATGTCTTTGTCCACATGATATCTTGAAGAACAGAGGACTGTATGATCCCTTATCTAAAGGACGCGTCATTGACTAGGTCAGAGTTCGACAGCGGCTATTTGAGAGCTACGATTGCTAATCAGATCCTGAAGATACATTGGCAGATATAGTTATTATACTTATCCAAGTGGGAGATTGTTGGATAAAGTGTCTAAGCCCATAACTATAATTGGGATGTACTTGACCCGATAGTAGCATGGTCCTTTTGGGTTGCCTTCACACTGGTGACTGGACAGGATGACTGTTAACGAGAGAGGCTGATTTGTTATTAAGAATGATAAATTGGGGCATAAATATGATTTATTAATATATTATAAGAATATTATATTAATTAGGATTCATATTATTAATTTGTACTTAATCAGAAATTAATTTAGAATTAATTTTGGGATTAAAGGAACTGATTAAAAGTACAGGGGTTGTTTTGTAATTATTTTAGTTGAGGCTTTGGGCCATTGGGTCACGTTTATTAGGGATAGGCCGAAAATCCTAGAAGGATCTAGGAGTTTTCGTCCAAGGCCTATGGAAAGGAGGTCCATGGACTTGCTTAGGCCCTAAGCTAAGAGATTAGGGTTTCCACCCTGAAACCCTAGCTAGCCTCAAGTATAAATAGACCCTTTAGGCTCTAGATTTCGTCCACCCTTGGAGAAACCCTAGAAGATCCGATTTTTGGAGCAAGCTACCCTCTCTCCTCTTTCTCATATTCATCCTCTCACTCAAGTGTGTTTGTGAGCCATTAGAGGTACTACATTTGTGGTACTTGTTCTCAAGAGCAAAGGGAATTCAAGAAACTAGTTGTTATTACTACATAGCAACAAAGGTATGCATTCTAATCTTTGATTTGCAATTTTCAAAAATAGTAGATGCATGCTAGGTTTTCCTTTTGTGTTCATTTGTTGTATGTCTAATAGAGAAAACATAGATCCAAAACTAGGGTAGCATGCACACATATGATTGTTTGTATAAAACCCATCAGATAGTGTAAATAAAAACATAGAATTTGGGTATGAATCTTTACTTATTTTTTTTTTGTTAGGAATCAAAATGTTAGTGAAGATAGTTTTGGTGAACTAGTTAATAATTTAATGATCCACCTAATGCTTCTAATAATGTGATTGGAAATTCCAATGATTTGGTTGAGAATTCTAATGATTGTGAAAATAATGAATTTCTGATAAAGTTAAACCAAGTTATTTTAATATTTTGTAGAAATTGTTGTCGGATGAAGCATATAAATGTAAAAGTCCATGAAAATCTATTCAAATAATGGAGTTTAGAAAGATTGGATGAATTAGTAAATTTAAAAATGAATGTCAATTTTTACAAAGTCTTGATTATTGTAAAATAATAACGGTTTTTATTCAAAAAAATACATGAATGCATTCTTTTTAACTGGTATTTGTAGGTTTTGGTTTGTATTAATATTGATTTTGTTTGACTTTAAATTTTATCGCCGGAAAACAACTTGAAGACGGCCGGACTTTGGCACTTCTTAGCTATAATGTGGAGAATAACAACGTGGGGCCAAATAATAGAATGGTTAATGGACTCCCGTATAACCTAGATATTTCTGGATGTTTTGGGCCTTTTCCAAACAACTTGGGCTTAATTGAAAACCAAACGGACGTCAATTTTGATAGTGCACATGATAAACGTAGGAGAACGGTAAGGAACACGAAAGGAACCCCAGTTGACGTGTCGGATTTCCCCCCACCTCAACCAAACATCGACCTAAATTGTATGCCGATCCCTTCTCAGATCCCGCTCCCGGATTCCGACACTGACTCTCCATCCCCGTCGACGGAAATTAGAAACACGGTGGTAATTGGCAATATGTTAGGTTTTGATGTGGATGAAGAGAATCTGGTGCTTAAAGAAGTCTTTGGTGAAGCAGGTGAGAATAACACTTTCCGATGAATATAATGTCACTAAACATCCGAGGTATGGGAGAGAGACATAAAATTGACTGGGTACGTAGACTCAGGAATGAACACAGGTTATGCATGATTGGGATTCAGGAATCAAAATTAGGTGAGTGTTCTCCGACTCTAAATGTTGCTGGATGTTGGGGTGATGTGGACTATGGATTTGAGCAGGTATTTACCACAGGACGATCTGGAGGTCTTGTCTCTATATGGGATAGCAATCGGTTTTCGGTGATTGAGACCATTAAGTCTAGATACTTCATAGTGGTCTTGGGGAATTTTGCTGGAATAAATGGGTTAACTGGATTCGTAAACGTGTATGGACCTAGATCGGAGATAGATAAACTAAAGGTCTGGGATGAACTGCTAGCAGTGAAAAACTCCAAATCAGCCACTTGGATTTTTATGGGCGATTTTAATGCGGTGCGACGGCCGGAGGAGAGAATAAATTCGATCACTTGTACTAGTAGCGCGAATGACTTCAACCATTTCATACGTTCGGCCGAACTCACTGATTTGAATATGGGAGGTCAAAGATTTACCTACTTTAAAACTCAGGGAGCTAAACTCAGTAAGCTTGATAGATTCTTGGTGTGCAGCAGTTTTTTATCAATATTTCCTCTTGTTTCTTGCTTTGCAATGGAGAGAGATCTCTCTGATCACTCACCAATTATCCTAAGAGCTCGTTGTGATGACTTTGGCCCCCCTCCTTTCAAATTATTTAATTCATGGATGACGCAAGACGGGTTTGATGAGAATGTTAGGAATGCATGCTTGGAATTTGTGGGCTATGGTTACCCTGATATGATGTTTATGAATAAATTAAAACATTTGAAGAAAGCCATTAAAAGTTGGAAATTTAAAACAGTGAGGGAGGAAAATAAGAAGATGGTCGATATGAAAAAAATAATGGCTGAAATTGAAATGGTGGCAGAATTCAGGCACTTATCAGAAGCAGAAATAGAAGAAAGAGTTAAAGGAGGTATTAAGATTGTTGAATGTGCTAGAATCATGGCATTGGATTTAAAGCAAAGGGCTAGCTAAAATGGGAAGTGGAGGGTGATGAAAATTCGCGTTTTTTCCATGGGTATGTTAAAAGTAGAAACAGGAAGAACCAAATTCATGGAATCATGGTAAATGGCAGGTGGACTACGGAGCCAACGGAGATGAAGACGGCGGCTGCTAAGTTTTTTAAAGAGAAATTCCATGAAGTGTGGATTAACACACCCCGGTTTCATAATCCTGGCTTTCGTATTCTCTCTGATTGTGATGCGAGATTTCTTGAAGGAGAATTTTCACTGGATGAAATAAGGAATGCAATTTGGTCGTGTGGGGGGGACAAGTCGCCAGGGCCAGACGGTTTCACGTTCAAGTTCTTCAAAAAATATTGGGACCTTCTAAAAGATGATATACTGGGGTTTGTAAAACACTTTGAAGCAGGGGGTAAAATCTCGGATGGTTGTAATTCATCATTTATTTCTCTGGCAGCAAAAACAAAAGATCTAATTCACTTCTATGACTTTAGACCCATAAGTCTGGTTGGAGCTTTGTATGAAATTATTGCAAAGCTGTTAGCCCTAAGACTAAAGCGAGTCATCGGGGGGGGGGGGGGGGGGGGGTTGTAGGGGAAGAACAATCGGCTTATGTTGAGGGGAGGAACATACTTGAAGGCCCGTTGATTGTAAATGAACCGTGTTCTTGGGCAAAAGCGAAACGTAGGAGGATGCTCCTGTTTAAGGCTGATTTCAATAAAGCATTTGATTCAGTAAATTGGGCCTACTTAGACTCAATTATGGAACAGATGAAATTTGGAACCAAATGGAGATTTTGGATTAGGGGATGTTTGGAATCAGCGAAAGCTTCAGTAATAATCAATGGGAGCCCAACAATCGAATTCCCTATGACGAAAGGGGTTCGACAAGGCGACCCACTCTCTCCCTTCCTCTTTATTATTGCGATGGAAGGGTTAAATATGGCAATGAAGACGGCGGTTGAAAAAGGGGTTTTTGAAGGGATAAGATTCCCTAACTCTAACATCTGCTTATCTCATCTATTTTATGCAGATGATGCACTTTTCATTGGCGAATGGTCGAGGCGTAACATCGCTAATCTGGCTCGAATATTGAGGTGGTTCCATATCGTGTCCGGACTGAAGGTGAATTTTAACAAATCCAAGGTATTTGGGGTTGGTGCTCCTTCTCTTGAAGTTTTGCATTGGTCAGCCCCTCTTGGATGTAAACCATCCTCTCTCCCGTTCACCTATCTTGGTATCCCAGTGGGGGACAATATGAATTTGAAAAAAGCATGGAGACCGATAATTGAAAAGTTCCACTCCAAGCTTTCTTCTTGGAAAGCGAAATCGCTTAGCTTTGGTGGGAGAGTAACTCTAGCAAAGGCGGTCCTGGGTCATCTGCCAACTCTTTTTATGTCTATTTTTAGGGTCCCGAAAGGTGTCATTGATACTCTCGAAAAAATAAGAAGAACTTTCATCTGGAGTAAGGAATACAACAAAAAAAGCATATGTTGGGTTAGCTGGGACAAGATTATTGCACCTAAAATAGTGGGTGGTATTGGGTTAGGGTCGATATATTCCTTGAACATTTCTTTATTAGCAAAATGGTTGTGGCGATTGAAATCAGGTAGTAGTGCATTGTGGGCTAAAGTCATTAGGGGTGTTCACAATTTAGATGGAAGACATTGGTCTTGCTTTGCTAGTAGTACCAATAATGGAGTATGGAAAAATATAACAAAAATCAGGCCTTTGATGATGAAAGTTAACATTGATCCTAAGGTGATTGTATCATGGAACTCGGATAGGAGATGTTGGGCATCGGAATTTGTTATTGATAATATATTATCTGCGAGTTTGATAAGAGACCGCTTTGAACTTGCGGGCCATATTGTATGCGATGAACCTTTTGACTGGAACAAAATGATCCCATTCAAAGTTCTCTGTTTCATGTGGAGAGTGAAACAGGGCAGAATCCCTTCTGCAGTCGAACTTAATTCCAGGGGGATTACTATTCCCTCTACTATGTGTATATCATGTAAGCAAGAGGAGGAGACTAGTGATTATATGTTGATCACTTGCCAATCGGCGAGGACTGTGATGAATGAAATCCTTTACTGGTGTGAAATCAGGTGTGATAACTTTAATTCAGTAAGAGACATGTTACTATTTATTTCGAGATGGAGCAAATGCAAAAAAGGAGAAGTCTGTTGAATGTAATTCTTTGTGGAGCTTTGTGGTGCATATGGATTGATAGGAACAATAGGGTATTCAATAATATTCCTGTTGTTCCGACATACATAGTGGAAAGGGTGAAATCTCTATCTTTCATTTGGTGCAAGCACAGGGGGGAATATAATAACATTGATTGGAGAATTTGGAACTTATGTCCGTTTCTATGTTTGTAATCTTTCTTTCTTCCCTTTTTTATTCTCGTTGTAATTTACTGTCCGCATCATCTTGATGTAGGCGTGCTTTTTAATATATTTGCCGTTTTCCAAAAAAAAATATATGCAAGGTTATTAATTACAAGTTAGTTTTTTAATTTAAGGATCATGGGATAAAAGATGAACTCAAAGCCGGCGGTTCTAGAGATACAATGTGTTGAGTTCAACAGATTCTCGTACATGGTACGCAACTACGCATATAGTTGCTCAAAATGGTCTTCATAAATAGAAGAAGAGGTTGATTATTAAAGAGACCTAGAATATGAAGGGGACTTCATAATATATATATATATATATATATATATATATATATATATATATTATATCTATATATATATATATATATATATAGGGTTTGGGTTCATTTGAGACCACCTATATTTTGTGAGACATGAGGACCAAATCTTAGCCCTTGATCAAAATTGATATGTGGTTTAGATTTAACAAAAAAAACAAAAAAAAAACAAAATACAGGCGGTGGCAGTTTGTGTAAATAACACAAACTTTGTAATTAACTAGAAAACACGGAGGGGTAGAAACGTAACCTGGCACATTCACAAACGCATTCATATGATTTTCATTTCCCAAAATCCTTTCATCAATCGGAAACCCTTCCATCACAAATTTGTTTCAGATTAACCCTAAATCGATTGCAAAGTCGAGCTCTTTATTCTGATTCTAGCTCGAATTCATCCTCTGATTCATACTCGAAACAAATCCTAACTGATTCACGTAGCAAAAAACGATCAGAAAACCCTCGATCAATCTCGATTATCAACAAATTCTTATTCCTTCAAATTCATAACTTCAACCTTTTTATTCAATCTCAATTATCAACCATTCCTTCACAAAACAAGTATTAATTCAAGCTATTCAAATGTCGGATTGTGTAATTGAACCGATGAATAATTTGGGTTGTACAGATTCTAAGTCGAATAACCCTAGTATATCAAATCAAAACCATAGATCATATCCTGGTTGTTAACCATTCTCCCAATTGAAGCAAAGTGAATCAAAGAGAGTTAATTTCGGTTTCTTGTTTACAAAAACTGAAGATCAAACCAAGAAGATTGCTAAGGAATCAAAATCATATATACAGGTTCTTTCTTTCCTTAATCTATCATCCTTTAAATTCACATAAACCCTATCCTTCTAAATAGAAGGAATCGACGACCATTCAAAATCATAAACCTTAATTATGTTATTCAGATTGTTTCATTCTGGTTTTAAGAATCGACTTTAGAACTCATACCCATCAAAGGCTTTGATTTCACCTTTCAACAATGTCTTGTTCGAGAGAATCAGATTCCAATTCCCCTTCTCAATATAAAAGATGAATCACCAATGTCATTATATGAAGTAGATAGAGTGATTAAAATAGCATGTACTGAAGTCTAGTCTAAAGAACCAAAGAGAAGTAATTAATTCAAAAAGAAAAGGACATAAAGCTATTTTCCAACAAAAACTTAATATTTAGCTTTCAAAACAATATTCTACTAGTTCTGATTTTGTATAGTACAATATCTAATCATTCGG